GTAGATGTGGGTAATCTCCAACGCAACCGCAAGAGGGAGATTGCGTCGACTCGTCCTTCTTCACGCAAAGGCAAAGGTAAAGCGCGGGCGGAGTCTTCTTTTCAAAGTCGAGATGACTTTGAAACGGATTACCAATGGAGAGATGACATGATGATGTCCGACGAGCATCTACAAAACCTATTGTCCCAAAACGATCCACACTTTGCACAACAACAACACATCCCGACAACCATTGATGAAGAGGAGCTCGAGGATGACGATGCGGAGGAGGACGCGGGGGGCGACGGGACTCACGGCACCCCGGATGATGAGCAAGACTTGGAGGACGAGGTCGGTTCAACCCAAACTGGTAAGAAATCTAAATATCCTATTATTGAAAACAATTTTACAAAAAGGAAAGACAAAAATACCAAAAAATGGTACGCAAGTTACAATTATTGCGGCAAAGAGTATAGCTTGGGAACTTCTGGCGGATACGGGAGTCTCACAAGGCATCTTAAGTCCGCCCATCTTGTGGAGTATGCGAAAATAGACAAGGGCAAGGGGAAACAAACACAAATATCGAGGTTTGCAAATTCTCAACCCTTTGGTAATTTCTCTTATGATGATAAAAAACATTTGACTGGTATGTCTCATTTAATTGTTGAAGAAAATTTACCCTATATTTTTTCCGAAAGTCTTGCTTTAAGAGATTATGCTCAAGGTACTTTAAATCCTCAATTTAGAAATTATAGTCGCAAAACGATTAAAAAAGAAGTTATAAGGCAATATAACTTCGAAAAAGAAAATTTACAAACATTTTTCGCAAACTTTAATGGACGTGTTAGTATTTGTAGCGATATATGGGAGGATACTTATCATCATTTATATTATTTGGGTCTTACTGCACATTATATTGATGATGATTGGAATATGCATAAACGTGTTCTTGCTTTTCGTGAATTCAATGATCGTCATACTGCTGATAATATATATATTCTCATTGAGCGTATTTTAATTGAGTATAATTTGCTTGATAAGGTGTTTGCTGTAGGTTTTGATAATGCTAGTAATAATACTGCTGCTATACCTAGATTGCGTGAATTGTGTGGTGCTTCTACATTGATGGGTAGGTTTTTTCATCAACGTTGTGCATGTCATATTCTAAATTTGTGTGTACAAGATGGATTAGCGGCATTAGGAAATGCTTTGGAGGCAGTGAAGGGGGGAATTAAATTGATTTGGGCTAACACTCCACTAAAAATGCAATGGCGGCAATATTTGAAGGAAAGACGTGTCAATTATTGTGCTTTTCCTAAAGATTTGTCTATTCGTTGGAATAGTACTTATAACTTAATTCAAGTACTTATTAGATATAAAGAACATTTTCCTGCCTTTTTAAGACAAACTTGTAACTATATTATAAACCCGGCTGACATCGACACTTGTGAAAAAATTGTTAATGTTTTGGTATATTTTAATAACGCAACTCAAACTTTTAGTTATGTTTATAAACCTACCGCAAACGAATTTTTTGTTGAAGTTGTTAATCTCGCCGGCGCTTTTTTAGAATTTTCTGATGCCGCTTACGTTAGTTATTTTTGTGATTTCATGAAACAAAAGTTTTTAAAATATTATTCACATGTTCCGCATATATATGGTATTGCATTTGTTCTTGATCCTCGTTATAAACTTGTCTCGTTGCCAACTTGTATAGATTACTATTATAATTTTTTTTCCAACTCAAGAGTTCGATGATAACTCCATCGACCCCAAACAAGAATACAACGAGGTTAGTAATTTATTTCATCAATTGTATAATGAATTTCATGCACAGTATGGTAATGCACCCCCTCCCATGCCGCGAACATCTTCTTCATCTAAAGGAAAATCACTTTTAAAATCTGCATTTGGTTCTCTTATGAAAAAAAGTAGAGCAACTCTCGCTACTGAACAAAGCTCAGTTAACGAGCTTTCTTTGTATCTAACATTGAATGTTGATTATGAAGCTGGGGATGATTTTGACGTTCTTAAGTGGTGGAAGGACAATGAAAGAACGTTCCCAGTTTTTCAAAGATGACTAAGCAAGTGCTAGCAATGCCGATATCAACAGTTGCCGTGGAACAAGAATTTAGTGCGGCCGGCAACGTCCTAACCGATTATAGAACGAGGTTGAGCCCGAGCTCTCTTGAGACGCTAGTTTGCTTCCATGATTGGTTGAAGGCCAAACGAAGAACTCAAGAAATGACCATCGCTCCCACCCGCCACGTTATGGAGGAAACAACCACCGAAGGCGGAGATTCCGATTGATTTTTTATTTCAAAATGTATTAAATTTTTTAAATGCATCCTAATTCTCAATTGTACTTCTTATTTGAAATAAAAATACTTGAATTATTTTATATTATTGTGTACATCAATTCAATAATTCAATTCAATAAAATTAATTTGTAAACTTGTACTTCATATGTAGCACTTATCAAATTAATTAATTGGTTACAAACTTATAACTTACAACTTGAAATTATTTTTGTAAAATGTAAAGGCTGTTTTTACTTTTTAAATTAAAATATGTAATATTAATATGTAAATTAATTAATTTTTTACAAACTTACAAGTTACAACTTATACACCTATTTTGTAACATTTGTAAATTACAAATCAAATCACTTTTCTAAGTAAAAATAGTTTTACTTAATTAAAAAATTAAAAACATTTTCCTTACACATTATGTATAATTTTCTAAATCATATCACTTTCCTTACACTTTTCTAAATCAAATCACTTTTCTAAGTAAATTATACACAATATGTATAATTTTAAAAAAAAAAATTAAAACATTTTGAAGTGGGAGATTGCTCCCAAACGGCTATATAGCCGTTGGGGCTTAGGGTGGGGGGCAGGGGGGTCCCGGGGGGTGGTGGGGTGGGGGTGGGGTTCAAAAAAATCTATAAATACATCTATTTTCTACCATTTTCTACACCTCTTCTCCAACTCTTCTCCATCTTCATCTTCTCTTATTATCATACATTTCTACTTTTACATCTACCATTTTAAAGATGGAGAGTAATTCTTCTGTTATGCAAAACAACTTTGATAAGTGGAAGGACCCGAAGACCGGACTGTGGTGGGCAACTTGCAAGTGGTGCAAGAAAGAGTGTTGCTTGGGGCGTTCACACGGAGTCGGGATGCCAATAAAACATATGAAGTCATGTGACAAAGGTAAGACAACAACCAACGGTGGCGGAAATCCCAATTGATATTTATTCGAAAATGTATTTCATATTGTTATTTTTTCCTCAATTCTCAAATGTACTTCCTATTTCAAATAAATGCACTTGAATTTTGTTTTTAATAACAATTATTATAATAATATAATATATAATTTAAAAAAAATTAAAAGGACCGGCCCGAACCGGGCGGCGGGTGGCCCGGCCCGAACCGGACCCGGGGTTACCCGGGCCGGTTCCGGGCCTCCCAAACCTTGAACCGAGGCCCGAACCGAGTCCATCCCTACTAGACGTCAAAGGATAGTATATATCTATGGTTTTAAAAAAATGTATTTTTAATATTATAAATACATCCCTGTAACTTTTAATATATATAAATACACCCTCATAACTTTTAGTATTTATAAATATGGCCATGTATCCGTATCCTACTGTTTTTGTTTTGTCATATCCCCGTACCCGTTTTCGCATTTCCGCGTTTCCACGTACCCGTATCGGTGCTACATAGATGCAAAGTAAATTTTACTTTCTATCATCCACTAAAATTGTCTCATTTTTCATTTTTCGACCTGCCCCAATAAGATTGTCGCATATCAAATTTGGTAAAATTCGTACTATAATCAAACAGCGGGACCGACTATGTTTCCGGGACAGGGCCGGGCCTGGGTCGGGTCGAGTACCATCTTTTTGTTATTGCTTATTAATTCTAACCCCCCCCCCCCCCCCCACAACCCCAAACACTCCCAAATCACCCAGCCCAACCCGCCTCTTACCCAAACCCGTCGAAGAAACCCAAAAAAAGAAAATTGGACCCGGACCGGCCGGGTCGGTACCAAGAGAGCTACAGCCCGAGACCGCCCCCAAAATACCCCCGGGTCGGGTCCTAGGCCTGGGCCCAGGCCCGGTCAACTGGGTCGTGCTAGGCCCAGGCCCCCAAATCCCGTACAGTGACGATCCGGTCCGGTTCCCGGGCCGGTCAGACCGGTCCCGGGCCACCCCTATGCGCACACACAGAGTATGTGAATAGTGTAGGAAATCCAATTTTAACCACATTTCCTCACTAACTTTGCAAGAACAACAACATTACTTCAATGCTGCCAAGACTCCTACCTCTGAAGATAAGGGGAGTTGAATGTACAAAGTCTTATCATCGTACTAAAGCACATAAAGATGCTTACCGGATGAATCATGATGAAAATTAAATGGATTGACCGCTTAAGTGAACTATTTTGTTAATTTGTTTTATTCCACCATATTTTCAATTAAACAAATAGTGAGTATTTGACTCCATTTGAAATGATGAAACTCCTCACTAACCTTTCAAATGTCAACAAAAATACTTTCTCCCCCTTCTTGAGCACACCTAGACGAGGGTTCTTGCTTCCTAGGTCATTGAATGTTCTCATTTTATTTCCATCTTGAGGGTTTGTTTGAAGGTATGTGTTTTTGGTTTTGATAGACTTACAGGGCAGGGTAATGAATTTTTACTTCCTCAAACTGAACATCCTTAACCTGGACGGACATGTGAGGGTAGGTAAGGCTAGGGTGAGGAGATCAAATTCCTTGATGGAGAGACAAATTTGTCTCTAGTCTTCTATCTTCGTATACCTTCAAACTGGATATATGCTCTAAATGAGGCTATTTATTGGGATTGTATGGGGGTTAGGGTCTACATTTGTGGAAAGTCACTCTTTGTTATTCACTTTTTTGTAAGAATCAGTCAAGAATCAAGGTACAATAGCCTGTGGTCAGACTCACAGCCTCACAGGGATCAAACCCCACAAATGGTCATTTTTTCTTGTGTTCATTTTGTTGGTATTACTATAAATTAATAAATTAATAGGGATCAAACTGCACGTCATAAACCTTTAGCTACATAAACCAATGTCTGAATAGAGTTTTTTACCCAAGAACCAATTATCTAACTGATTTATTTGTTTACAAGTATACACTACCTTTATTCAATACCGGAGGTTTCAAATAATATGTTCATTTCAGATACAGATATTGAAAATAAAGTCGCGGCACGTGATAGCTGTTATTCACAAGAACACTTAGCACAAGAACTTCTATCCTCGCTTGCATCAATCATAATAGTTTGTTCTGGTGAACTTTTGATCTCATGTTTCTGCTTGGGTTTGAAGTTGTTCCTGCGCAGAATAAATCCAAACTGAGACACCAGATTGAAATTAAACGCAAATTGCCAAGTACCACTAAACAAACCATATATATACAGTATTGGTTGCAATAATAAAGCGTGCCAATATGCATCGTATAAGCCCCAATTGGGTGAGAGCGTGACAATGCTTAAAAAGTGTTCTTTTGCTTCTTGCCAAAAAAATTAGCGTTTTCAAACATGTGCTTCTCTTTATATTAGAATACTTTAAAACTAAAAGATGTACGCAGAGAGAGGGTGCTTAAAAAATGTTTTTGATTATACTACAATTGGACCTAAATAATAATATAATATCCTAAAAGATGTACGTAGTAGTATTTTACGGTTATGTTGGCAAACAATTTTAAAAAATCCGTTTTTGGCTCAAAAAAAGCTGAAATGAGTGTTTTCAAGTGACAACTTTTGCTTAAATTAAACACTTAAAAATGCTAAAAGCTAAAAACCGCTTTTGACTTTTTCTATTACACAAAAAGCCCATACTTTATCAAACACTACCAACTTTTACTTTTCAAAATCAATTTTTTCTAAAGATTGCCAACTTTTACTATTAAGCACTTTCTCCAAAATCACTTTAAAAAACACTTCTATAAAAGCAAAAGCAATCTAAAACACTCCCTAAACCAAACCTCCAGCTTCTACTTGTCTAAAATCACTTCTATTTTTAAAAAATTCTATCTTTTACAATAAAGTGAACCCAAAAACCACTTTACTGGTAAACAGGCTCATATAAAAAGGTTGGCACTCCAAACCACCCCACCATTGGCATGATGGAGGAGTACGATTGCGCAAAGTTATTCTACAGGCCTCTCATAATGATTGAGGGTATGTTTGGCACAACTAGCTAAAAAGATACTTTTACGAGCTTTTTAGTAACTGTTAGCTTTTAGTGACTGAAAAGATCTTAAAAAGAAAAGGTGATAGCTGTTTGGTAAAAAGCTGACTGTTTGATTTAGTTCGGTTTGGTATACAAGCTGTTAGGACTAATTTAAACTAAAAGTCACGAGCTTTTCTCAGATGCTACACCCGGTAGCATCTCAAAAAAGATCTTTTAATTTTTGAAAAGCTCTTAAAAAATGTCATGCCAAACATACAACTAGAGTCTTTTAAGGTCTTTTTAAAGAATAAAGAAGCTAGAAGCTAGAGTATTTTGTGTGCCAAACATGGCCTGAATCTACACTTTTTGAATTGAACTTCTGGCCAGAACAATCCAACTACGTTGGCACCCGCACACTCCGGTTGGTTACAAAACATCACAATGAGATGATAGACCTAGCGAATGGCTGGGTACCGCTCGAGACAATAATATTCATGTCATTGTTCTTTTTGTTTAAAAAAAATAGTTGATAGAACAGGTACCTCAGTAACAAAGAAGGCATGGAACCCATAAGGAACTCTTTTGGGCAATTCAACAACAGCAACAGGATCAGATGACATTGTTTTTGCATCAATGACCTCCACTGCTGATTTCCTGTACAAAATTATTGATGGAGATGTTCATATGACCAAAACCTAGCATACTTCTTTTATTCTACACAAGAGTCAAGGATGGTAAATACTCAGGCTCCAATTATTTCCAGTAAATTATTCTCATTGAAGGTGTTTTTGATAGAGAGCGGGAAGAGCATGGGGTGGGACCGGGCTTGGGCCCACTTCCGTGGGCCGGTTTAGGGCTGTTGTTATAGTCTATTTATTTTTATTAAGTTAATGTTATAATTTAGTTTGGGCCTATTATTAGTAGAGTATTTAGTAGAGTTATTATGGGCCTAATTAGGAGTTATTTATTTTGGGCTTAATTAGGGTTTCCCGGGAGTCTGTCATTAGTAGGTTATTTAAACCCCTTATTCATTCTTAATCATCTTGGAATAAAAGTCGGTTTAGCCTTTTGGCTCTGGGCAACGGTATTTTTTATCGTTGATTATCTGGGCAACGGTTCACCCCGTTTTCCGCTTCATATCAGTTTTCTATATATTTGTGTGTTTGGTAGCAGAAAATATGTTCATCCATCTTTAAAGGGTTTTTAGAAAATGACTTCTTTTGTGAAGAAATTTAATTATTTCTGTGTCCATTAAACATTATATCACACATTTAACTGTTTTTTCATGAAAACATTGTTACACAAAGTTTTTCAAGGAAAATATATCATGCTGACTTTTCTCCCTATAATCAAACGAAGGTTCCATTCCCATTGGTTGCTGAAAATGAACTTGTTTAAGATGTTTTACATAGAATATCTCCTAGAAAATGCTCTCTAATGGAGAATAAGTTGTTCTATGCATATACTAGATGCGTGAGTGTATGACCCACAAATATAGAAAGCACAAAAAGTAGGAAAATGACATAAAGTTTTGAAAACAAATAACCACAACCCAATCTACATCGACTTATTTTCATGAAGTCAAACAGTGCTACAAGATTATCAGTGTCGATTTAAGAAGTTTATGTATGAAGTGAGATGTGGAAGTACCCGGTGTTCTCATCGTGTACAAAGAATATCAAGTAGCCATCATCCTCTTCACATGTGCTACTTGTCTGGCGAGGAATGAAAATAGCCTCAGAACCAAATTTGGCAGGTCCTAGGTCAAAGATGCCTTGAACATTTCCTCCCACTTCAAGCTGTGTTTTTCCAGTCTGCGGTTCAGCATGCAAATCAAATTTGATAATCCCTTTGACCTTTGCAATGCTATTTAATATGGTCCCGTAAACATATCGTTGTTTCCTGAACATGCACAATGTCACAATTATTTTGCCAGTTTCTGATGTGCAGGTATAGGTTCAGGTAATGTTTATTAGAAAAAGGGGCAAAAAGACAAATATCCCTTTAAGGACATTTTTTCCTTTCACATCCGTTACCTAAAACTTTCCATGAATCCAAGCTTGTACATAGAATTTGTTATTATGTCATAGAAGCTCTTTACATACAGATACCTAAACCCTAAACCCTATACCCTAAACCCTAAACACGAATTTATAAGGAAGTGCAGAATTGACCTATGAGAGTTCTCACCTCCCAGTGTAGTTCTCATTCACCCTTGGAAAATCAACAGAAGACTCAGACAGTTTCTTTTGTGAAGCTTGACAACTTTTCATGTTAAACCTCATTTCATACCTAACAAGCATGAAAGGAATAACTTTTCAGTAAATAGTCAGTTGTATATATATAAATGATGCCACACACGGGATGTCAGATCCTACAACTCATTTGCAAAATTCTCAAGATCATCTTTGACAGCTCCATTAACCATGTCTAGATCTAGATTTTCAATGCGGCATGTAATCAGAACAACTTCATCTCCCTCCTCCCATGCATTTGCTAAAATGGATTCAGAAAAGAATAGAGGGTCAAAATTTCAGTATAAAATGAAGAGAAGTTAATCACTACTTAAGATTCTACATGGTTATGCCTAGTACATATTGCAAACCAGCATGGAGATGAAAAAGGAGCTTTCAGTTCTAGATTTAATTACAATTGAGAAATTACGTGATAAAGACCAGAGCTCCCTTCAGAGGTTTCTAAAGGCAACTTCTCCAAACAATATGAATAACAAAAGCACATAGGCTTATTCCACATTTTCACCACAGCAAATGTATACTAAAGAATTAGGATTAACTCTTTTGTGCTTCAGTTGTTAAAAATTCTGGCTGCTTGAAAGGGATAAACCACTGAAATGACTGAATAAGAGATCTCTTTCCTCCCTTTTCTTCTCATTGCTTGTAGAATAGACTGGGCACTTAATGTTTTCTGCTACCTTTCTTTTGATTGAATAAATGAAAACAAAAACTTTTGGATGCACTATGAAACGATGCAACTCGGGTATTTTTATTGTTCCTGTTGTGTGGGAAGAGTGATCTACTCACTGGATTATGTACATGTTTGGCAGATATATGTATCACTACTATCTAGCTTTTTACTATTTAAATAGTCCCAAAAAGCTTGTTGTATGTTTCATACAACACTTTTTGGGATTTGTTTTTAAATTTAACATTTTCAGAACCTACTCTACGTAGCTTCTAAAAGAAAGTTTGTTACTTCAGCATTAGTTACAATTTCATATAGTTGCAACAACTTGTTATACCAAAAAGGACTGCATGAAACGATACGCTCTTATTAAGAAACTACACTATTGCCTATTTAAGAACTTTTCCATTACTAAAAGTTAACCGTTACTTAAAAGCTCCAAAAATATCTTTTCAGCTACTCGTGCCAAACATACACCATGCCTAATTACTGCTTTCGTATCTTAGGACATATTACTATCTTCAATATAATATTGTTATTTAGAACAACATCCCTTTGAAACCTTAAAGACATCCAAATATTATAAAATTTAACACTCACCATTGTGAAATATGAAGCAGTTAGGAAGCTCAAACCATTTGATTAATGTTTCATTCTTTGCATAGCGTGGCAGGACTCCAAAGCGTGCCTTTTTTGTTCTATCAAATTTAAATATGAACTCTTTGTTTTTAACCATTTCCTGAAAAGTAAAACTAAAGAATATTAGGATGAACTTTCAAGATTAATTTTATCATTTGCTGTAGATTTTGGACTAATGAAACAACATTTACATCGCATGGTAACATGGTTACATCTATCTCATATATGGTGAGTTTGCTAAGCACATGAATTGGCTATTATGACTTCAAGAAGTGTCATTAGCATGAAATTAACAATTTAAAAGAAATGTGAACATGATAGGAATCATAGGATAGATACTATATTCTTAACATATCTGAATATGTGCAGGGACAATGGAATAAAGTTCGATTACATTCAAATCTCTGACCTCACTGTCTATCAAGGAATCACTTTTCATTGCATCAAACATTGGGATATGATTTTCACTATCTCTTGCATACGGAAGATTTTACATCAAAACCGCATCATCTTAAATCACATACCGGCTATGGTCAATGGTGCGGCTAAAGCAATCAGCCTCGGTGTTGATGTTAAATCTAACCGTTTCCTCAATATCCTCAAATTTGATGCCATTGCGTTTCCATATGTTACTCATGTCACTTGATTTACCTTACCATCTTTTTTCTTTGAGTAGGTTTTGGCCTCATGTCCCCCTACTATGTATCCTCCTTAATTTTAATTAATAAAATAAGTTTTTAATGAAAAAAAATAGGATAGATACTAAGGCCAAACAGATTGTAGTATCATGATAAAGAGAATAGATGATTCAAATGGTAATAAACATTATATTCTACAGAAACGTGACATAAATCATCTAGATTCTATCTAGCGACTTCATGTAATTTAATCACACGAGCAAAAGGAACTTAGACAATCTCTTGCAACATATTATTCAAAGTATCTCACTGTGAAGATGTAGACCCTGTTGGGTAATCCTTATTTTTAGCTTATCAACCTCGTCAATCAACATATTTACCAAACATGATTTTTTTTTATTTCCCACGCTAAATTGTGTAATAATCAAAATAAATAAGGTTCAAGTTACCGCAGAGGACCATTTTCTGGTTGAATTGGCTGGAGTTACCGCAAAGGACCATTTTCGCTATTTTTCATAGGATTTTTCTTAATTTTATTAATAGAATATATTTTAAAATTAATCTTCTTACAACTCAACAGATTCATCCAATTCAGTCACTTCAGCCAGAATTTCATCTGTTTCAGCCAATTCAACCTATTTCAATGTTACCAAACGAGCTCATAATAACAATATTTTTACTTCAAAGGCGGATCTCATGTGCAATACTCCTCTAATAAGAATATCACTAGTAAAATTCAAGTTAGAAAAGCATTACACCTTTGGTCTGAAATATAAAGGGAGATCCATGAAAATCGCATAATTCTCAGTGATGGCAAAATCATGCATCATGACAGGTTCCGGTATTGTTATTGGGACTGGTTCATTCATTACTCCATCCTTCGATACAACTCTGTATGTGAGATAGGGTGCAGTGGTGGAATAGCCGAAGGTAAACATCTCTCCTGCATTGAACATTATCTAGTCAAAATGAGCAATTTCACATTGTGTGAGGAAAAAATAACAATTACTCGTACATGTTCGTTGGATAATGTTGCATTGCTGCAACTGACCATGAATCAATTCACAATGTCTAAAAACATTGAAAATATATTGGGTCAAGTGTGTACTATGAAAGCACCTTTTTGAGGTACTTAGAAATTAGAATATTGCCAACCAAATAATGTTGTTCCAGCAATGATAGATTTAAGGAGAGGTTAAACTATGTTAAGCCAAGAGGAAGCAGGATGTTGGCTGGTGTCTAAATGAGAGAAAACTAATGTGCCTCATAAGACAGAAAAGTGCTAGGGGGACGACTCATAGATGCTTTATTTGAAGGGAGTGTGTGATGACTGGTGAGATAAACCCATGGATGCTTTTATTAAGAACATATATTTGTATGATTTGATGTCCTTTTATTCTCAAAGCATACTATTGGAAATACATATAGCACTATTACCCGTTATTGGAATATATCCATCATTTGCAATGGAGCCAAAGACTCAATATTTTTTGGCTTGGGAATATGATGGAATAAAGCAAAATGGTTCACTAAACTGTCTGCGCTTCTTTGTTATGAAGCTGTAGTCAGTCCATGCAATTTTCGATGCGATTGGGTCATCCGGAAACAGTCTCTCTGTCCTCTAGTGCAGGGGTAAGACTGCGTAGATCCGACCCCCCTTACCCCACCGTAGGTGGGAGCCTTTTAGCACTGGGGTGATGATGATGATGATGACTATTACCCGTTATTGGGTCAACCTTCGGATGAGCAGTAAAGGGATGTGACAATCTCTCATCATAATCCAGCATGCCAAGTGTTTGTAGATCTCCATCCTCCAAAACCTTAACGACGTCTGGACAGGGTATCACAATAAAAAACATTTCAATACTATACTTATAAGAAATTACATAAGTGCAACTGCAAACTAAAAAATAACCCAAAACCATGCTCTGACGGGGATCCAGAATTATACTCCGTGAATTATTACCGCAAGACAAACTAAAGAAAGTAAAAGAAATTGAGCCGGATGGTGTATAGCACATGGTTCATCAAATAGGTACATTGAAAATAAGGAAGGGTTCAAATGATAGGTGTATTATGTGCGAGGTATTAAAATGGAATGGAAACAAGAGAGATCTGCCATACATGGTTTGTCGCCCTCTGAAAGTGCCAAAAGCTTCCTGTGGTGATAAATTAGAGCTGTATTGGCTGGAAGAAGATAATCGTATTTACACTTCGTGATTCTTGCTTAGAGATATCCAATATAGATGAAAAAATTGCCATGACACACCGAGAAGAAGAGCCATGTTGCTACTAGTAGCAATCCATGAGTTCACCTACCTGTGCCAGTTCCATAGGAAACATCTAATACTTTCAGCTTTGCTCTTAGCATTTGCATGTAAACCATAACCAGTCCAAAGAAGCCCTTGAGATCTCCAATCTGCAAATTATCAAACAACATTATGCATGTATAATAATGACCTCATCAGGCCTACCTGAAAGGATTCTGTCAGGAGAAAAAAAATCATTCAGACACTTATATCACTTCAATGTTTCACTGTTCTTCCGCACACTAGAACCCCATCAGTTTCCCAACCCGACCCAACCGCAAGGATTCAATATTTGTGAATATAGATGTCAGAGACTTTCATTTCTCTCAGCTACCCAAGCGAGTAGTGTTATAAGATGATCACCCGAGTTTTAGAGTTTCTCACATCTATTTTAGCATAAATTGAACAATTTGAGAACTTTTGAACTCAGAAACAGATTTGGGGGACCCATGAGTGAAAAAAGTTGGACCGTGAAGTGATCTAAATGTCGCAATGGATTTTGGCCAGACAAAATCCTGAATGTCTCCATCATGACTTTATGATTCATCTCTATCTCTATCTCTATCTCTATCTCTATCTCTATCTCTATCTCTATCTCTATCTCTATCTCTATCTCTATCTCTATCTCTATCTCTATCTCTATCTCTATCTCTATCTCTATCTCTATCTCTATCTCTATCTCTATCTCTATCTCTATCTCTATCTCTATCTCTATCTCTATCTCTATCTCTATCTCTATCTATCTCTATCTCTATCTCTATCTCTATCTCTATCTCTATCTCTATCTCTATCTCTATCTCTATCTCTATCTCTATCTCTATCTCTATCTCTATCTCTATCTCTATCTCTATCTCTATCTCTATCTCTATCTCTATCTCTATCTCTATCTCTATCTCTATACACACACATAAACAGATAGACTTCATATAGCAGGTAAACATTTACTAGGTGACCATTTCTATGAGGCCATTTTATAGCTTTGGGTTCCAATCAACTATTCAATTTACAGAGTTACTAGAAAATTGAATTTTAGGTCAATATACACCAAAGTATAGGGCAGTGCGGTGCATATTGGCATCCCTGCAAGGAGAGTTAAATCGTTTAAGGCATTTATAATGAAATAATGGATTAAATATAATGAATGCTAGCTTCTTATTTTTATAACTTAAAAAATTGTTTTAGGACTCTTTTTGGGGACAAAAATAAGTTTCAAAGTGGATGATCTCAATTCAAATCACACCTTCATAAACTTAGCTCCTCCAAAAAACTGTTCTTGCTTCAGACGTGATGTCTTCACAAAACGAGAGACATATGTTGCTTTTCCATCTTTGATGCGCAAGCCATGAATCATTCTGGGCAAAAAGGACAGTGATTGCAGATCATAGTTGAATTTAAATAATTAAAATTAAAATGTGCTTAGAGGGAGAAGTGAAGACATAGAACTCAACACACCCATCTCCATCAAACCTGCAAATAAGAAAAACGAGAATAAGCTAGTGACCTAATATTATAACATTGGTGCTTTACTGTTCCTACAAAATAGCCAATGCCACAGCTTAAAAAATATTTGACATTACTCAAATGTATGCTAGACAGAGGGGCAAGAATGTAAGACAACTCTTTATAGGAAAAGAACATGGGACCATGGATATTGAAAGACCCAGTTGAGATAACGGTGGTCACAAAATGACATACCAATGGTAGCCAGCCACCGGAGTGAAATTTGGATTGGGACCAACTCTGACAAACTCACCATTGAGGCACTCCTGCAAAACAAAAACTATTACACAATCCGTATTATTCATAATTCGGGAAGCACAGGCTATTCTTTACCACAGCATCTGAACTCATCAGTCATCACGTGTCACAGATGCTTCATACATAGGGCACTTTATGAAGGTATCACTAAGAGAAAATAATTCTACCACTAGTTCAAGGTTTAATTGCATGAACTGAGAAAGAAGGTAGCAAACCAAATTTCCATGCACATTCCAACTTAAAAGGTACTGTTGTTTAACAGTTTCATCTGTAACAAGTTAGATCGTGATAAAAACTGGCTATATTCTTACAGCAACATCAGGTTATTAACACTAGAATCATTTGGTGGAAATGTTCTACTCATATGAATCATATGGAGTATTAGTTTGCAACAAAAAATATTGAAAATCTGTACTACTGAGTATATGCTCCCACTTGTCCATAAAGGTTTTACAATTTAACTATTCATGTGGTCAATGTAACTTCTTTATTCTTCTTCAGTGTAATTCCTAAACATGTAAATTCCAGAATCATTCAATCGTGTAAACTGAAAGTGGCAAACCAATTTGAGACGGGTGGTATTATATCACAATATCGCATAAGAGACTAAGGCAGTGCCTCTTTGGTATGAAACTGACTTGATCACCCATATAAAAGAACAGATCAATAGCACCCAGTTCTTACAGTCTATTTTTAAAATCGTATCACGTGGATAAAAATTTGAGCTTTGATATCAACTTTTCACTTCCAAGCTCGTCCACAAGAATTCTTGAATTATAAATGAACTCATCAATTCGAAAAGTTCTGATCTCTAACTTACAGGAAGCTGGCCGATGACCGGAAGGTCTTTACAAGGAGCAGTTTCTTCAGGAGCAGGAGCGAAATTACCAGAAAGATAGTGAAGCGGTTTAGAAGAGTCGTGCATCATCTTAACAATCATCCATTCCAACCAATCTATGGCATTGGAGATCATGCTATCTTTCGGCTTTGGGTTCACTACCACCATTCCTCCAGCCTTTCGCTCCACTGCACCATCATCTTCCTTCCTTCCCATCTTTCTTTCTCTCACTCTCCAAACTGCGAAGCCAAAATGTGTGCCTGGATATAGAGTCGTATGATGGTGTGGATGTCGTTTAGGACCACGTGTCACTCACATCTTCCGCGTACATTATATCTCATTTCTCCTGAACTTTTTTGTTTTACTCCGCTATGATCGTCTCATTTTACTATTTCGGTCCGTCCCACTAAGATTGTCACACACCTTATTTGGTAAAATTTTTGTGGTTCTAAATTATTTCTACTTTATTCTTACTTTATCAATTCAATATCAACCACATAAAGCCACTTTTATTAATAACTGTGTCACCTTCTCTTGTCCCAAACTTAGGGGGACGGAGATAGTACTTAATAAATTTATTTATTTTTGAAATATTCATGCAAAGTAAAAAAAGAAAAAGATGTTGTGAAATGAAGAAGATGAAGACTTAAATAAAGAGATAGATATATTGATAATAAGCTCTAAATAACTTCTTCTTAATCTAACTGAGAGTTTCTTAGTTTCTGAATTTCTGAATTAATTTACAAGGCTTCACCAATCTCCTATTTATAGTGGTTGAGCTTGATGATTAGTCATCTAAAGGATGACTCTACAAATTTGGTGGCAATAACAAATTGAGCCATCTGTTCTAAGTTGGTTACAAGGATTGATGCTAGATTAGTGTCCTGATTACAAGGATGAATAATTCACACCTGTAATTCCCATGATTTTACAACACTCCCCCTTGAATGTTCATCCTTGAATAGTTATTTTGTTATTATGAAAAATTAGTGTGAATGTTAAGGGGTAAAGATTACGACATATAATGTCGTTGTATTTGGATGTACTGTCTCGTTAAAAACCTTATCAGGAAAAACCCAGTGGGATAAAAACCTGATGAAGGGAAAAAGAGTGCAGTGCATTCAAATACTCCCCCTGAAATTAACATAAATTTTGAAGGCGGCGCATGCCGATTTTCTGTACAAGTTCATCGAACTTCTTCGGGGGTAAAGATTTGGTGAAGAGATCAACTGGATTTTCACTGGATCTGATTTACTGAATGTTGATCGTCCCTTCTTTCTCAAGGTCGTGAGTAGAGAAAAAATTTGGAGATATATGCTTCGTTCTGTCTCCTTTGATGTAGCCTTCTTTAATTTGAGCTATGCACGCAGTGTTGTCTTCGTAGATCACAGTAGGGTAAACAGTAATAGGCTTCATACCGCATTCATTCTGGATGTGTTGAATCATAGATCGCAGCCATACACATTCTCTTCCGGTTTCATATAGTGCAATTAACTCCGAATGATTTGATGATGTAGCTGTCAATGTCTGTTTCATAGATCTCCACGAGATTGCGGTATTACCATAAGTAAATACGTACCCGGTTTGTGATTTTGCCTTTTGAGGATCTGATAAGTATCCGGCGTCTGCATACCCGATTAAAGAAGCTGTTGCATCTTTGTGGTAGAATAGGCCGAGATCAACTGTACCACGGAGATAACGGAATATGTGCTTGATCCCGTTCCAATGACGTCTTGTTGGGTATGAACTATACATAGCTAATAAATTTACAGAAAATTCAATATCTGGTCTAGTATTTTTAGCTAAATACATTAAAGCTCCAATAGCACTCAAATATGGTACTTCGGGACCAAGTATTTCTTCGTTGTCTTCTCGGGGACGGAATGGATCATCGTGTATGTTGAGAGATCGAATGACCATTTGGTGAAGTCAAAGGATGAGCTTTGTCCATATAGAATCTCTTCAACACTTTCTCGGTGTAATTGGATTGGTGGATGAAAATTCCATTCTTCAAATGCTCAATTTGAAGCCCGAGACAAAATTTGGTTCTCCCGAGATCTTTCATTTCGAATTCTTTCATAAGATATTTTGCAGTATTTTCAATTTCATCGGGAGTTCCAATAATGTTTAAGTCATCAACATATACTGCAATTATGGCGAATCCCGAATTTGATCGCCGAATGAAAACACATGGACTAATCGGATCATTCTTATATCCTTCTTTGAGAAGGTATTCACTGAGACGATTATACCACATTCGTCCAGATTGTTTTAGTCCATACAATGACTTTTGTAATTTAATGGAAAACATGTCTCGAGGTTTCGAGCTATAAGCTTCAGGCATTTTAAATCCACCGGGAACTTTCATATAAATGTCTGTATCAAGTGAACCGTATAAATATGCGGTCACTACATCCATTAGGCGCATTTGCAGCCTTTCAAAAACAGACATGCCAATGAGAAACCTTAATGTAGTTGCATCCACTACTGGAGAATAGGTTTCTTCATAATCAATTACCGGCATTTGAGAAAAACCTTGGGCAACAAGTCGGGCTTTATATCTAACAATTTCATTCTTTTCATTGCGTTTACGCACAAATACCCATTTAAAACCCACAGGTTTTACGCCTTTTGGCGTAGGGACTATCGGTCCAAAAACATCACGTTTTTCAAGTGATTTTAATTCAGCCTGAATAGCTTCATTCCATTTTGGCCAATCGTGTCGTTTCCGACATTCTTCTATTGATGTTGGCACATTGTCATTGTTTTCATTCATAACATTTGTGGCAACTGCATAGACAAATATCTCATTAATATCAATATCTTTTCGATTCCATTGCATTCCAGTAGAAACGTAGTTTATTGAAATTTCATAATTATCAACGTTTCTATCAGTATCTGGAATATCTTCCTCATTTGAGGAAGTTGGATCGTTATCTGAGATGTTTGTTTTGTCAATATCATTTTCTATGCCGGTATTTTCAAATTGTTCATTTTCTTGTTCAGAAGGATGAACATCTTTGGCATCACAGATCAATTCCTGCATTTTAGATTTTCTTGGTTTTATGTCTTTTGATCCAAGTGGCCTGCCACGCTTTTTGCGTATAGAAGAATCATTTGCAAGATATTTTTCAAAATTCTCTGCAGGAATTTCGATTCTGGCAGGAGCATTCACAGCAGGAATATGTGACTTGGTCACTTTCTTTGTATCTGTGAATGCATCAGGCAACTGATTTGCAACATTTTGTAAATGGATTATCTTTTGCACCTTTTGTTCACATGTATTTGATCTAGAATCAAGGTGTGATAATCCTGTTGCATTCCATGTTATTTCTTTCGTATTTAGGTCCGATTTATTAGTTTCTCCCCCAAAGGTTGGGAATACTGTCTCATTGAAATGACAGTCAGCGAACCGTGCGGTGAATAAGTCACCAGTCATCGGTTCAAGATATTTGATTATTGAGGGAGATTCAAATCCAACGTAAATTCCCAACCTTCTTTGAGGACCCATTTTTGTACGATGAGGTGGAGCAATCGGAACATAAACAACACAACCAAATATTTTTATGTGTGCTAAGTTTGGCTCTTGTCCAGTAACTAATTGCATTGGGGAATATTCATGATATGCAGTCGGTCTAAGCCGAATTAAATTTGCTGCATGCAAAATAGCATGTCCCCAAGCTGATGAAGGTAAATTACACTTCATTAATAATGGTCTAGCGATTAATTGTAACCGTTTAATCAAAGATTCAGCAAGACCATTTTGTGTATGGACATGAGCAACAGGGTGCTCCACATCAATCCCAATCGACATACAATAGTCGTTAAATGATTGGGAAGTAAATTCTCCTGCATTATCGAGTCGGATTCTCGGTATAGAATGATCCGGAAAATGAGCTCTTAATCGTATAATTTGAGCAAGGAGTTTAGCAAATGCTAAATTTCTAGTCGATAAAAGACTAACATGTGACCAACGTGTTGAAGCATCAATCAACACCATAAAATATCGAAATGGTCCACATGGCGGGGCTATCGGCCCACAAATATCTCCTTGAATCCTTTCTAAAAATGCAGGTGATTCAGTTGCAATTTTGGTCTTAGAAGGCCTGATGATCATTTTGCCAAGAGAACAGGCCTTACAAGGAAAATCATTTGATAATGGAACCCTGATATTCTTTAATGGGTGTCCAAGTGAAGTTTTAATGATTTTATGCATCATTACTTGGCCTGGGTGACCTAAACGGTCATGCCACAACATGAATATTTTCTGATCATCTAACTTTGTATTAGAGACCAAATTTATTTCGAATGGACTAATATAAGTGAAATATAGTCCTGAGGAATAAGCTGGCATTTTTTCACAAATATGTTTAGTGCCAGATTTAGTTGTCGTAAGACAAAGATATTCCTTTTGGTTTTCATTCATGGTTTCTATGTGATAACCATTTTGACGCATATCTTTAAAGCTTAATAAATTTCTCCGCGATTTGCTGGAGTATAAAGCGTCATTTATAAGTAATTTTGTCCCGTTAGGGAGCATCACATATGCTTTCCCAGAGCCTTCAATGAGCTTCGCAACACCTGATATTGTATTGACTTTAGCTTCAACTAAAGTCATTTGAGAAAAATAGATTTTATTCCTCAAAATGGTGTGCGTTGTGGCGCTGTCTATCAGACATAGCTCTTTATCACTTGATTGATCCATATCTGCAGGAGATGATGATTTCTTGAAGAGATTTGAGCAGATTTGTGCTGATAACGTGTTGTGAAATGAAGAAGATGAAGACTTAAATAAAGAGATAGATATATTGATAATAAGCTCTAAATAACTTCTTCTTAATCTAACTGAGAGTTTCTTAGTTTCTGAATTTCTGAATTAATTTACAAGGCTTCACCAAGCTCCTATTTATAGTGGTTGAGCTTGATGATTAGTCATCTAAAGGATGACTCTACAAATTTGGTGGCAATAACAAATTGAGCCATCTGTTCTATGTTGGTTACAAGGATTGATGCTAGATTAGTGTCCTGATTACAAGGATGAATAATTCACACATGTAATTCCCATGATTTTACAACAAAAGAGAAATAGTCCCAAACTAATACTTTGTAAAATAGGAGTTAAGATTTAAATTCTTTAAATTAAATATGACTTCCTATTACCCTTGTGCACTTATTATTTCATTTAATTCTCTATTTTTTCATTTTCTGGACGATACTTTTCATTTGCTTTCATTGATTTTTATTTTGTATTAATTTCGATCATT